CCCGTCTCTACTAAAACTACAAAAAATCAGCTGGGCATGGTGGCGCGTGCCTGTAATCCCAGCTACTCAGGAGGCTGAGGCAGGAGAATTGCCTGAACCCAGGAGGCGGAGGTTGCGGTGAGCCGAGATCGCGCCATTGCACTCCAGCCTGGGTAACAAGAGTGAAACTCTGTCTCAAAAAAAAAAAATAATAATAATAATAATAATAATTTAATTTAAAAGCAAATAATTTTCTCTTGGAAAAATAATTGTCCAGGAATCTCTCCTAAAGTTTAGGTTTGCTAGCGCTTTTAATGTTTTTATTAGTGTCATTGGTAGTGACTTAATAATTTCATGATTCAGAGACTCCAGGAAGCAGAGAATCGAAACCAGGAACTGAGTCAGAGTGTTTCATCAACAACAAGACCACTGCTTCGACAGATAGAAAATTTGCAAGCAACCCTAGGGTCCCAGACATCGTCGTGGGAGAAATTAGAGAAGAATCTTTCTGATAGGCTTGGTAACTGCTTTAGTTTTTATGCTCAATGCAGAAACCCTTCCATCTTGTTTACAGAATTAGAGTAATGGTATGAAACTGAAATTCATTTGCTCTGATAGTTATATTTTGTGTCTAATATTTCGATTTTTACCTTTTCTCTTTTTCTATGTGTATTTTTAATACCTTTATTATGTCTCTTTCAAACCATTTTTTCCGGTTACACAATGTTATCAGATACTGGCTAAAGTAGTTCCATGTCATTTATTTCTACAGACTGTTGCACTTGAGTTTTTTCTTGTCCATTGCTAAATCTGACCCCTTTGTAGCTTGTCTGCAATAGTGTAGGAGGTCGAGATCAGATATGATTCTCATCAGTGGTACAATTCCAAGAGCGAAAATAGGTCTAAGGAGAGTCAAGATCAACTTTAGAAGAGAGATACTATGGAGTCTTAAGATTCTATATTCTGGCAGGGCATGGTGGCTTACATCTGTAATCCCAGCATTTTGGGGGACCATGACGGGCATATCACTTGAGGCCAGGAGTTCAAGACCAGCCTGGCCAATGTGATGAAACCCCATCCCTATTAAAAATACAAAAATTAATTGGGTGCTGTGGTGCATGCCTGTAATCCTAGTTACTTGGGAGGATGAGGCAGAGAATCACTTGAACCTGGGAAGCAGAGGCAGCACTGAACTGAGATCGTGCCACTGTACTCCAGCCTGGATGACAGAGTGAGACTCCATCTCCCATATTCTGCTTTTTTACAGTCATGCCCCAAGTTGCCCTTCTGTGATGTTAATAGAAAGAAAAGTATTGTTCTGAAATGTTTCCCTTCAAGCACAGACAGGTAGTGTACGTATATTATAGATATCCCAGCAGCTAGCAGATTCATGAAAAATTCAAGTATGCCTTTTATGCCTGACACTCACTGTAATTTGAGAAATCATGGTGTAGTGATAAAATCAGACCTGAATGAGTAAGGAGACAGGGACTCAGGGTGTTTTGTTTTGAATCATCCAACAAAACAGTCTGGAACAAGTCACTTATATTGTTCCAACTCTCTCTGTGCTATTCCTTGTGAATTAGGAGGGGTGAACTAGATTAGTGACTTTTTTTTTTTTTTGCCACAAAAAGAATACAATACCTAGGAAGATTAGTGATTGTCAAGTAGTATTCATTGGACTCTTGGATACCTTTGTGGCTGCTGTCACAGTGAGAGGGAAGCTTGATAAATAATAGGCAGGGCTTCCCGGGCTGCTATAATGAAAACAGGGCCTCTTTTGTCTTATTTTATTGGAGTTCCATGTAAGATTTGGTCTAGAAAAAGATTCATCTGCTTAAAAAAATTTACTGAACTAGATAAACCTTAATGTATATTTAAATTTATAGGTATAAATGTTAGGTCTGTCATTTATGACAACTTTTTTGAGACCAATGTGAAATGAAATATGAGACATCTGAAAATGATACCTTTTGAAATAAATATTTGCAGTAAATGAATGCTAACAACTGATACTTTTGTGGTTTTTAGACTGAAGTTTCCATACCCTCAGGGATATGTGGTATCATGCTAGCATATAGGCAAAGCCACAGTACCAACATACCAAGGAATGCTATTAAAAAGACCATAGATATTCTGTGGAGCAGAGTGTAAAATGTAAAATAGAGGTGTTATTAGCTCTACTTTGGTGGAGAAAAAATATGAGAATTCTTACCTAGGTTAAATCTCAGAATCTTATCCATTGCTCTTTTTTCAATTGAAATTTTTAATGATATACTGTAGATTCACATGCAGTTATAAGAAATAATATAGAAAGGTCCTGTGCAGACATTGCTTAATATTTCCAAGTATTAAAATTTTAGCAATATTAATGTATAATATCAATCATAGTATTGGCATGGATACCATCTACTAATTTTATTCAGATTTCCATAGTTTTATTGGTACTCATTTGTGTGTGTGTGTGTGTGTGACACGCACGCACACACACATATGTATTAAGTTCTGTACAACTTTACCACATGTTCATTACCATAGTCAAGAATATTGAACAGTTCCAACACTATGAGCCCTTCCTGTTGCCTTTTTCTTCTTTTTTTCTTAGCTGTTACCCTTTTGGAAACACACCTCCCACTCTCTGAACCTCCTCCCTCGCCTGTCCCAAATCTCTGGCAGTCACTAATCTGTCCTCCATTATTTCTAAAATTCTGTCATTTCAAAAATGTTACATAAATAAAATTATACAGTGTATGACATTTTGGGATTGGCTTTTTTCACTCAGCATAATGCCCAGGAAGAGGTTCACACAGTAGTTGTTTGTATCAGCAGTTCAGTGTTTTTACTGCAGAGTGTTATTCCATGGTATGTATGTACCACAGTTTGTTTAGACATTCAGTGGGCAAAGGATATCCAGGCTGATTCCAGTTTCTGGCTATTACAGATGCAGGTACTGTGAATATTCAGATACAGGTTTTAGTGTGGACCTAAGTTTTCATTTCTCTGGATAAATGCCCAAGTCATGTTTAGTGTTTTTAAGAAAATGCCAAACTATTTCCAAAGTGGCTGTATAAGAGTAATCTAGTTTATTCACATTGTTGCCAACATTTTGTGTTGTCCCTGTTTTTTCTTTTAGTTACTCAGACAGGCATGTAATCATACCTCATTATGATTTTAATTTATATTTCTCTAATGACTAATAATATTGAACATCATTTTATGTCCTGTTTTTCATTTGTACATCCTCTATGGTGAAATGTCTATGTCTTTTACCCATTTTCTCACTAGATTGTTATATATTCCTGATACTAGTCCTTGATATATGGTTTGCATTTATTTGCTCTCACTCTATATCTTGCCTTTTCATCCTCTTCACATAGATTTAAAAATTCAAAATTTTGAAGAAGTTTGTCAGTTTTTCTTTCTATGACTCTTGTTTTTGGTGTCAAATCCAAGTACTCTTTGCCTTGCTCTAGATCCTGAAGACTTTCTCCTCTATTTTTTCCTAAAAGTTTTTTAGTTTTATGTTTTATATTTAAGTCTTTGAACCATTTTGAGTTAATTTTCTTGTATGATGTGATGTATAGGATTTTTTTGTTTTGTTTTATATAGATGTCCAATTGCTCCAGGACCATTTGTTATCCACTACTCTTTTAATGCATGACTCTATTTTCAAATTAAAATACTTTTGGAAAAGAATGAAAAAGCAGGTATAAGTTAAGATTGGTTCATTTGTCCCAGTAGATAGTCCTGCCTTAGGCAATAACCGCATCATTAAATGTTTGAAATCATAATTGACTTGGTATTTTGGTCTCTGGACTATATGTGTATGTGATTTTTCTTTCTGTCCTATAATCAGGTGAATCCCAGACCTTGCTGGCAGCAGCAGTGGAGAGAGAACATGCAGCTACAGAAGAACTCCTTGCTAACAAAATTCAGATGTCTTCTATGGAGTCACAGAATTCTCTCTTAAGACAAGAAAACAGTAGATTTCAAGCCCAGCTAGAATCAGAGAAAAATAGGCTACGAAAACTGGAGGATGAGAATAATAGGTGAGCGTGGTTTTTGAGTGATATTTTTGGTAGTTCCATGACATCATAAAGCACTTTTTAAAAGTATGTTGTTGGGCCAGGCATGGTGGCTCACGTCTGCTGTAATCCTAGCACTTTGGGAGGCCAAGGCAGGCAGATCACTTGAGGTCAGGAGGTCGAGACCAGCCTGGCCAACATGGTGAAACCTAGTCTCTTCTAAAAATACAAAAATTAGCTGGGCGTGGTGGCATGCACCTGTAATCGCAGCAACTCGGAAGCTGAGGCACAGGAATAACTTGAGCCTGGGAGGTGAAAGTTGCAGTGAGCTGAGATTGTGCCACTGCACTCCAGCCTGGGTGACAGAGTGAGACTCCATCACAAACAAACAAACAAAGTGTATTGCTGGCTTTTAGCTTCATAGTACGAAGAACTAAAAGTAAACACTTTTAGTGTTTAAAGTTAGAATGATTAGTAATAGGATATTATGCCCAGGTATGGAGGGTCACGCCTGTAATCCCAGCACTTTGGGAGGCCAAGGCGGGTGGATCACCTGAGGTTCAGGAGTTAAAGACCAGCCTGGCCAACATGATGAAACCCTGTCTCTACTAAAAATACAAAAATTAGCCGGGCATTGTGGCGGACACCTGTAATCCCAGCTACTCGGGAAGCTGAGGCAGGAGAATCGCTTGAACGTGTGAGATTCAGTGACCAGAGATGGCACCATGGCACCCCCATTGTGCAGCAGAGCAAGACTCTCAAAAAAAAAGTCTCCAAAAAAAAAAAGTAATAGGATACTATAGCAGGATAGTACTGGGATTCATTGACTATTATATAGGTTGATGAGATTGTGTGGCGTGTTTTGTATATATTTGGATTTTTCCAGGGAAAGGATTTATACCTTCAATCAGATTTTTAAAAGGGGGCTGTAACACCACAAAATAGTTTTCAGACCACTCTTTGGAGTTTTATATTACAAGGGTTTTAGCAGCATAGTTTAAGCCTTTTCTAAATAAATGTCTGAGTTCTTAGAAACCACGGGGTGTAAAATCCAACTATCTGAGAATATGTTAATAGGCAATGGTTGGTATTTTTTACCCTCTGTGTTCTTCCTTGGAAATTTTACTTTTTAAAAAAGTAGTCAAGTAAAAATGATTTCTAAACTAAAATATCTGAACTTTTATAAACATTTTCATAGAACTCCCTAATAATAAGCTTTGTGGAATCTGAGCATATTAGGGGATGATGATACTCAAAGTTATTTTTAATAAATGAAATCTTAACCCAGAGCACCAATAAATAAAATGCACAAAAGTGGATATTTTTCACTTGTGGTTTGGTTTTTGAGTCAAACTCAAATGGGATCTGGAAAACACTGTTGAAAAATCACTGATGTCAATCCGGTAATAAAAATGACTTCTCAATAGGTAGCTGGAGTTAAAGTACTGAGTTTTTAATAGTGTATACTGTCATCTTTTTCATTTTCTGTTTTTTGTTTTTTAATTCTCTTTGGTTTAATAGGTACCAGGTTGAATTAGAAAACCTAAAAGATGAATATGTAAGGACACTTGAAGAAACAAGGAAAGAAAAGGTATTTCCCTTCATGATCACTCACCTCTTAGGGCTTACATTAGAGAATGGTTGGGGATGGCAGCAAACTAATGAGATAACAAGATGAAATGAGTGATGCCACTGCTTTTGGAACTTGGTCTTTAGTAGTGAAACAAATAGGAGTTTCTACTTCATGCTTCTAACTTTGGGACTGACTTCTCATGGCATGCATCAGTATCACAGAAATTATCTAATTTTATCTCTCTCCATTAGACACTGTTGAATAGTCAGTTAGAAATGGAAAGAATGAAAGTTGAACAAGAAAAGAAGAAAGCCATTTTTACTCAAGAAGCAATAAAAGAAAAGGTATTGAATTTCATTTTGTTTTTGGTGTAACCATTTAGTAGATGCTGTGATTAATCTTTGTTGTTTTTTTTTTTTTGAGACGGAGGTTTGCTCTTGTCACCCAGGCTGGAGTGCAGTGGCTCACTGCAATCTCCACCTCCCAGGTCCAAGCAATTCTCCTGCCTCAGGCTCCTGAGTAGCTGGGGTTATAGGCACATGCCATCATGCCCAGCTAATTTTTGTATTTTTAGTAGATACAGGGTTTCACCGCATTGACCACTCTGGTCTCAAACTCCTGACCTCAGGAGATCACCTGCCTCGGCCTCCCAAAGTGCTGCATTACAGGCGTGAGCCACCACACCCAGCCATGTTTTTTAATTTTAGCTATGCTGTATAATAAGCTTGTCCATCCTGTGACCCTGGTTGGCATATGGCCCAGGATGACTTTAAATGAAGCCCAACAAAAATTCGTAAACTTTCTTAAATCATCATGAGATTTTTTTCATGGTTTGTTTTTTTTTTAATCTCATCAGCTATTGTTAGTATATTTTATGTGTGGCCCAAGACAATTCTTGTTCTTCAAATGTGGCCCAGGGAACGAAAAGATTAGAAATTCCTGCTTTATAGGTATCATTTTTTCAATGTCTGAAATCAACATAGTGATAAATTCTATTATTATAATCAGTGTCCTGCTTGGAGTGGACCCAAAGTAATTTGAGTTTATACAAAGAGATCTATGATTTCCAGGACTTGAAATTGTCCCTTTTTAAATGAATTTACTCATCTCTCACTGAAACCAGTGCACTTCATTTGGCCTATAGGCAGTTAAGGTGTAAATCTGGCTTGCTTGCTTTCTGGTTAATGAGGGTAATTTTTCTAAAATAAATTTTCTGAGGCTGGCCTTGGTGGCTCACACCTGTAATCCCAGCAGGCTGAGATGGGTAGATCACTTGAGCCCAGGAGTTGAGACAAGCCTGGCCAACATGGCAAATCCCCATCTCTACTAAAAATACAAAAATTAGCCGGGCATGGTGGCATGAGCCTGTAATCTGAGCTACTCGGGAGGCACAGGTGAGAGAATTACTTATACCCTAGACGCAGAGGCTGCCGTGAGCTGAGATTGCATCACTGCACTGCAGCCTGGGCGACAGAGTGAGACTTTTTTTCAAAAATAAGAAAAATAAAAATACAATGAGTTTTCTGTATTGAAAGAATTATAGTGTACTTGGAGTTAGCATAATATATTTAAACCACTTATATGTAAATTTAAATTACTCATCGAACTTATTTGGAATTTTAAAAATACATTAAAAATAAAATGGATAAGCCAGAAATTTTATGGTTTTTAACACTCATCAGTAATTTTATGTTACAGAAATAGGTTTAACTGATAGTATTTTGTATAATATGAAGCTTAACAGAAACATTCTCATTCCATTATAAAAACCCAACAAAGTACCTTATTGTAATAAATGGGTCCTGTGATGATCTAACCAAGTCTATCTATGGTTTTAATTAGTACATATTGTACTTTTTTCTTTTTTCTTTTTTTTTAAGACAGAGTTTCACTCTTGTTGCCCAGGCTGGAGTGCAATGATGCGGTCTCAGCTCATCGCAACCTCCACTTCCCAGATTCCAGTGATTCTCCTGCCTCCGCCTTCCAAGTAGCTGGGATTACATGCATGTGCCACCATGTCCAGCTAATTTTGTATTTTTCGTAGAGATGGGGTTTCTCCATGTTGGTCAGGATGGTCTTGAAGTTCCTACCTCTGATGATCTGCCTGCCTCAGCCTCCCAAAGTGCTGGGATTTACAGGCATGAGCCACCGTGCCCAGCCAAATATTGTACTTTTTTTTTTTTTTTTTGAGATGGAGTCTTGCTCTGTCGTCCAGGCTGGAGTGCAGTGGTGTGATCTCAGCTCACTGCAACCTCTGCCTCTTGGATTCCAGGTATTCTGCCTCAGCCTCCCGAGTAGCTGGGACTACAGCCATGTGCCAACACATCTAGATAATTTTTTTATTATTTTTTAGTAGAGACAGGGTTTCACCATATTGGCCGGGCTGGTCTCAAACTCCTGACCTTGTGATCTGCCTTCCTCAGCCTCCCAAAGTGCTGTGATTACAGGCATGAGCCACCGCACCCTGCCCAATATTGTATTTTTGATAAGACTTCAGAAGTCTTTTTATGGGAAAATTAGAATGAATCTTTAAAAAAAATTTTTTCTTTATTTGATTGTATTGAATTCCTTTGTAGTTTGCCTTTTTTAAAAAGATTGAATCTTTGTTCTCATTAACCCTAGAAAATGTTCTTTCTTTCTCTGCTTATCTCTTTGCTCTTTAATCTGAACAGAATTTTTTTTTTTTTTTACTCTCTAAGGAACGCAAGCCATTTTCTGTTTCTAGCACTCCCACCATGTCACGCTCAAGTTCAATAAGTGGTGTTGATATGGCAGGACTACAGACATCTTTTCTGTCTCAGGTGATGTTTTATTTTTATATGTGCTTGGTTCTTAGAATAATAATAAAGGAAATATGCAAATATCAAGATTGTCTGTCACCACGACCTTGCCATTTTATAGACAATTCATCTGAATACTTGTGGAGGAGTACTAATTGTAGTGAGAGGAAATACATGGATGATTTTCTGCCTTTGAGAAAGTCATAATCATTTAAAGCAAAAATTGACAGAACCATTTTTGTTCAAACCTGGTAATGGAACACAAGCTATGATAACCAAATGACTGTATGTGCTTTCTTAATTAACATAGGATGAGTCTCATGATCATTCATTTGGACCAATGTCTGTATCAGCAAATGGAAGCAACCTTTATGATGCCATAAGGATGGGAGCAGGATCTAGCATTATTGAAAACCTACAGTCTCAGCTAAAGCTAAGGGAAGGGGAAATTACCCATTTACAGGTATTGGAAAAATTAAATTTGCTATGGAAGTAAATGAAGTTTTGGGGCCAGTGAATAGCATCCTTCATTTGCATCTGAATTCTGAGCAAATTGAGAAACAAGATGACATAAGTGGCATGTGAAGCCCAAAATGTATCATATATAAATGATAAAGGCTAAAAAGGGAAATTAGCTAAGGAAAACAGCCAACTGAACCTGACTGATTGCCAGAATTAGGCAGATTTGGCTGATTTGTCACAGGAAATGCTGGGCTGGGGCAGGCATCCCATGTGTTACAACCTGCCCGCATAAGACATAAGCATCTAGGAGCAGAGGATGCCTCCTCCTTTCAAGTAGCTCTTTCCCAGCAGGATAAAGGGAAGTTGCTGAGCTGAGAATGCCTGTTCTATTCAGATTTACCTCCTAGATAAGTTATTCCAACTCCCCCGGGAATGAAGGAATAAAGAGTATGAGAGATGTTAGAACTGTAATAGCCTGTACATGGGAGGAAACAACATGAGTTGTTGAGGGAGGATCCTCCCATCTTAACCTTTTTGGCTTTTAAAAAACTTTGAACAGTCAGAAATGTTAAAATGTTTTACAGGTTGAGCATCCCAAATCTGAAATCCAAAATGCCTCAAAATCCAAAACCTTGAGTGCTGACATGATTTACAAAGGAAATACTGAATTGAGCGTTTTGGATTTCCAGATTTGGGGTGCTTAGCCAGTAAGTACGTAATGCAAATATTCCAGAATCTGAAAAAAAAAAAAAAAAAAAAAAAAATGAAATTTGAAACATTCCTGGTCCAACGCATTTTGAATAAGGATACCTCTTTTCAGTGTTAAACACAGTACACTCAGAAGTTAGTAAAAATTCTACTCCCATTATGTGCTTTTAGTTATATGAAAATATTACTCTATTAAAGAACTTGAATTGGCAAAAAGTAGATCAGAATAATCTTAATCTCAGATGTTTGTATAGCCGGTATGCTATACAGGGACTTAATTAATTTCTTTGTTAGTGATGAAAGCCTCTATCAATACAACCTACACAGGTGGGGCTATGTTAAAGTATGTTTTTATTTCCTTGGGTTATTTTAATAATTTAGAATAACTGAAATATGTGTCATTTCTTTTTTTTTTTTTTTTTTTTTTGAGACGGAGTTTCACTTTTGCTTCCCAGGCTGGAGTGCAATGGCCCAATCTCGGCTCACTGCAACCTCCGCCTCCTGGGTTCAGGCAATTCTCCTGCCTCAACCTCCTGAGTAGCTGGGATTACAGGCACGCGCCACCATGCCCAGCTAATGCTTTTTGTATTTTTAGTAGAGACAGGGTTTCACCATGTTGACCAGGATGGTCTCGATCTCTTGACCTCGTGATCCACCCGCCTCGGCCTCCCAAAGTGCTGGGATTACAGGCTTGAGCCACCGCGCCCGGCGTGTCATTTCTTTAGATTAGAAAAAATATATGGTTGCATGTTTTCAAACAAATAATTGGATTTTCTTCTTTATCTCTGTTGCGTAGGAAACCTTATAAATGGTATACCTCTTAGGAAAGTTGGGACCCATTTTCTGCCCCTGTTTCCTTTACTTAAAGAGCTAGCTCAAGGTTATATGTTGACATGTCTATTTAAAACACACACACACACTTTAAATATTTTTATATTAGCAGGAGTATTAAACAAGATAGATTTTGACTTAAACTATTTTGTGGTAATGCTTTTCAGCTAGAAATTGGCAATCTAGAAAAAACTCGATCAATGATGGCTGAAGAACTAGTTAAATTAACAAATCAAACTGATGAACTTGAAGAGAAGGTGAAGGAGATACCCAAACTTAGAACTCAGCTAAGAGTAAGTATTCTTCACTTAAGGATGAGTTTAAGATATTTTAGTTCGTTTACATTTAATCTCATGTTTTTAGTTTATATAAAATGCATATATGTACGTATTAGTGATTTCTTTGAAAATTAAGGAATATTAATATTTAAGCAAAGAACTTTAAAAATGAATCTTTTATGTGGCTTATGTCATTACATATTCAAAATAATTTTCACAATCATGTTTAGTTCCAGTATATGAAAAGAACTAGATTTCATTTGGCTAAGCTTCATTTATAACATTGAACTTTTGATGTTACATGTATCATTACAATTATCATATCTGGATGTTAGAAGACACTATTAAGCCATAAATGAGAATGTATTTTCTTTTGATCTTTCCTCTGGGCTAAAGCCAGGTAATACTTATACCACCATGGAACAAAGAAACTAAATTTTTATTAAGTGTTCTTACATTAATGGGAGAGAAGCCATATATGGGGAGAATTGTAGATTTAGTGGAGAGAGAGGTAAAATAGCTATCTAGCTTGGTTTTTTTCTTTAATTTTTTTTTTTTTTTTTTGCTATTTATTTCAACATAGACTGGACTGTGAGTTTAAGTTTTAAAAGAGATTAGTATATGCTTTTATTTAAATTGTAGTATTTTCATTGTTCACTTCTATGGCAATATAAATATTAAAGATGTTCTGTGTAGTTATATTAAAAATTGTAAACATACATTTTGCAGGATTTGGACCAAAGGTACAACACTATTCTGCAGATGTATGGAGAAAAAGCAGAAGAGGCAGAAGAACTTCGATTAGATCTTGAAGATGTAAAAAATATGTATAAAACTCAAATAGATGAACTTTTAAGACAAAGGCTCAGTTAACTTGTGAAAATTTAATTCCTGTCAAACTGAATGTAAGCATTTAACATCTAAACATTTAATGTGGACTTCCAATAAATTCTTTTATAGAATTAGAAAATGAGATTTACTGTAGAGTGTAAAAATTTTTTTAAAAATTGTTTTACACTATGTAGTAATATTTACAGTTAAATTATTTTGTGCAATATTTGAACTTTATTTTTGAAACTATTCTTTAAAGATTTATTTTTTAAAGCATTCATTTTTTTTCCTTGAATAGCACAGAGATTTATTACTTTATCCTTATATCAGTATGGCTAGGGAAGAAGAATGGTATTCATATATGTATTGCAGATATACAACTAGTTGTTTATATAATTTGTGTTTATATATATATTAAGAACATTTAAAGAGTAATGTTAACATACTGAAACTTTGAAATCTTTCACATTGAAGTTTTCAACATATCTTATTACTCATGAAAATGTACATTAAGTGTTTAAGTAAAAAATTACTAAATCTGTGGTTATTAAATTTTAAACTAACTTTTTTTCCTTTAAAAGTAAGTCACACTGACACTGTCTGAAATTTAAAGAGTGAGCGATTTAAACTTAAAATAAATTTTGGTCTGAAAATTTATTTCACCCAGCTTTCACAATTAAGTCTGTATAAAATGTGGTACCTTTTGGTACTTATCCAGAGAAACCTGTACATATTCAATGTTATCTAGATGTAATTGGATAGTAGAGAAAATTTATTTATAATGATTTTGCGATGGCATCAGTAACATTTAAATGACTTTGAAGAGGAATTATTTTACTACCCTATAAAAATAATAAAAAATAATAAAGTTCTTAACATAATTTACTCTTTAAAAATTACCTGTTCATATTTTGTAAACCCATTTTTTTAGCACATTTAAAAATGAATGTTTGATATAACCTAATATTCATAACAAAATAGAAAAATTATAGGAGTTAACTTGAATTTGGCATTTTATAATTCTGTGTGATTTATCATTTTATTTTTTCTTGAAACTTTAAACACAAGGAAAGTATGGAATAGCTTTTAAAAATAGCTATGCCTTCTTCCAAATGTTATTTTATTCAAAAAGTTAACCAGGCTGTGTTTTCAATCTGTGAAATATTTTGATGCATTTTATTACTGAAAGTTATTTAACTGCCTTTATTTCCACATTAAAACTCTCATTTACAGCTGGGTGCCATGGCTCACACCTGTAATCCCAGCACTTTGGGAGGCCGAAGCGGGCGGATCACCTAAGGTCAGGGGTTCAAGACCAGCATGACCAACAGTTTGGTGAAACCCCGTCTCTACTAAAAATACAAAAATTAGCCTGGCATGATGGTACGTGCCTATAATCCCAGCTACGCGGGAGGCTGAGGCAGGAGAATTGCTTGAACCTGGGAGGCAGAGGTTGCAATGAACCAAGATTGTACCACTGTACGCCAGCCTGGGTGACAGAGCAAGACTCCATCTCAAAACAAACAAACAAAAAAACAAAACAGAAAACTCTCATTTAATTTGTAGTTCAATTTTAAACACTAGTACTGTGGAGTATAGCTACAAGTAATCCATCTTGAAGAATTTGGAGAGTTTTTCAGGGCAATTCAAATGACCTCATTTTTGTTCTTTTTGTATTCCAGACAGTGTTTCTGTCATTGGATCTCTGATTTGTAGCATTAATAAATATTCTTGCAGTGTGAGGCAAATTCATACAATTAATTTTCTTCATTTTAGTGGTAAAAAGCAGTCTAATAGCTTTTTGTCAGCTTGACTATTTATTTATTTTTTGGTAATATTCAAGGGCAGAATGACAGGAGAGATAAGCAATAAGAAATGTGTAGGATTAGAAAATACAGTAGTTCCCTCTTATCCATGGGACATATGTTGCAAGACCCCCAGTGAAAGTCTGAAACTATATATATATATATATAGTTTCAGACTTTCACTGGGGGTCTTGCAACATATGTGTATATATATATATACACACACACCTATGAAAAGGTTTTATTTATAAATTAGGCACAGCAAGAGATAATAACTGAAAGTAGAACAATGCACTGTAATAAAAGTTATGCAAATGTGATCTGTCTCTTTCTCTCAAAATATCTTATTGTACCGTACTCACCTGTAATCAGAGTGTGGTTGACCATGCCTAACTGAAACCATAGAAAGCAAAATCATGGATAAGGGGAGACTACTGTATGCGAAACGTAAGTTACAAAATTCTGTGAAGCATTTGAAACTAGACATTTTGGAATTATGAAATAGTCCCTTTAAAATATCCATTAGTAGAAAAAACTGCAGTTGCAGAGAAAAGATTGCAATAAAACTCTTTCCTAAACCTTTCAATTTTATAATATTAAACATTCTTTTTTCTGAATCCTTATGAACATAAATAAGATCATTTCACTGAAAATTTTAAAGTGTTTTTGCATTTATTTAAAAATGACAAACAGCTATTTAAGTTTCTGGCTATATATTACCATATATTACTCTTATCTACAGATAAATAGCTCATACACTGATCATATTTTGATTGTTAAACACTCAGATCTCCCAATACTTTAAAGTGAACTTAAACAGTTTCTTGAAAAACTCCAGTAGGTGGCAGAATACCTATTGAATATTCATTGGTATACTTTGCTGTTTGTCATTAAAACATCTCTACCCATATGCTAGCAAAAGAATAATATTTTAATGGTTATTGAATATTCAAAGTATACCTATTGAATATTCATTGGTATTCTTTGCTGTTTATCATTAAAACATCTCTACCCATATGCTAGCAAAAGAATAATATTTTAATGCAATTAGATGTTTCCATTCTTGAAAGAAAAAATCTGCAAATAATAACATTTTCAAGAATATAAAAAATGAGTAAATGAAGGGAAAGTTGGTGATTTATAGACAATTAAGCACTGTCTGTAGGTGTCCTTCCAATTCTTGGGAGGCTAAATTGAGTCTACCATTTCTTACATTTCTTTTACTTCTTTTTTGAGAATTGCCAGCTGTACAGTTTAGCATGTGGAATGTACCAAATATATCTATATTGTGACTTAAGATATTCTAAAGTGGATAACTTCTGACCTAGGAAACATGAAGTTTGCAGTGAAGAAAGTGAAAAGAATGTTAAGGAAAATTTTTTTCTCGATCTCTTCAGTTGGCATTTATTGAGAGTTTTATTTCATTGTTTATTAAAAGTATATGATTTATAGTATTTAGAAAATAGAAAAAATAATTGTAGACGTTTTATCTTGTTTTAATATTGTATGTTTAGTATGTATACATTTATGTTCTAGTGTATCATAATTTTTCATTTTCATTAAAAATGAATCCAGTTTTCCCTATTCAAGGTCCATTTTAAACTATAAAATCTTTAATCACATATTTTGTAAAGGGCTAAAAGTATGATTTAAACTACAGATTGACATAATATTTTAATTCTAAATGAAAGATAATGTAAATAAGCATGGATCTGATTGAATAAAGATTTTAAAATAGTAATAGTGTATTTCATTTTTAACAAAATTTATAGTGGTCAATAGCAATGAATGAGGAATGAATATTTTATGAAAATATGACTTGTTTACATTTGAGATTAATATTTTAAGAAAATGAAGATAAGCCTTAATTTTCTATAAGTTGTTAGTATTAATATTATTAGTTTTAACTGTAGTTTTTCTTCTTTCTTTCTTTTTTGACAGTCTCACTCTGTTGTCCAGGCTGGAGTGCAGTGGCATGATGTTGGCTCACTGCAACCTCTGCCTCCCAGGTTTAAGTGATCCTCCTGCCTCAGCCTCCCAAGTAGCTGGGATTACAGGTGCACTCCAGCATGCCCAGCTAATGTTTGTATTTTTAGTAGAGACAGGTTTCACCATGTTGGCCAGGCTGGTCTTGAACTTCTGACCTCAAGTGACCCTCCCACCTTGGCCTCCCAAAGTGCTGAGATTATAGGCATGAGCCACCGTGCCTGGCCTGAAGTGTAGTTTCTCTAATGAAGATGTATTTTTGGAAAGCACTGTTCTACGAATTTACTTATGACTAGGTGATCTCTACCCATATTTTAGCAAAATAGTATTTATATTTTAATGGATAGGAAAATGATTTGCAATTAGATGTTTACATTCTTGAAAGAAAAAAAGCTACTGTAGGCTGGGTGTGGTGGCTCACACCTGTAATCCCAGCACTTTGGGAGGCTGAGGTGGGCGGATCATGAGGTCAAGAAATTGAGACCATCTTGGCCAACGTAGTGAAACCCTGTCTCTACCAAAATACAAATATTAGTTGGGCGTGGTGGCATGCACCTGTAGTCCCAGTTACTCGGGAGGCTGAGGTAGGAGAATTGCTTGAACCTGGGAGGCGGAGGTTACAGTGAGCTGAGATGGAGCCACTGCACTCCAGCCTGGCGCCTGGTGACAAAGTGAGACTCTGTCTCAAAAAAATAAAATAAAATAAATTTTTTTTTAAAAAGCTACTGTAAAGAATTATTGGTGTCAGTTTTAAATCTTAAACAATATCAAGATATTCTTCTAAAAGTCTTATGTTTGTGTATTCAAGTAATAACAGTTAAAGTAAGTTATCCTTTATTTCTGAGTTCATATTGCTTTGATTAAGCTCTAACTTTGGTCCTTTCAGGTACCTTTAATCTATTGCCTTTATACATACACATTTTACCTTTTAGCAAATTAAGATCTTTTTACAAGATAGACTGGAAATTAAATGCCTTTCTTATTAATACTTAAACCCTTTTCTCAAAACAAAAAAAAAAAATCAGAATGCTTCAGTAATTCACAAATATGGTAAAGAGAATTTACTTTTAGAACTGTCTGGAATTCTCCACACTGCCCTACTCCCAAGTAGGCTAAATTTAATATTTAGAGTCGCAAATAATATTAATCAAGACAGTAATGGCAGGTTTTTCTGTTTGTTTATTATTAAACATTCTTGCATTTACAGGTATGGGCACAGCATGCTACATGGAGGCTTTCCTTTCATTTTTATAAAATGCCATGCCAATTTGTCTCTTTCAAAATTACAATCTTATTTTTAAAAATTACATATACTGTTCAAAAATTTGTGGTCAGGTGGGAAATAGAAAGCATAGTCTTTTCTTTTTTCTTTTTTTGGGAAACATAGTCTTATTTTGTTCCAAGCACTGTGTAAGGAACTCACTTCTGTAGGATTATAATCCCATAATCACTGTTCTGAAATCCACAAAGCTCTAAAAAATCATATATATTTTAATACATTTGTTGTTAAATCCACGTTGGTGATAAAGTCTGCACTGCACTTGACGTAAGGTTATGTATAACTTGGTGTGAATACTCATACATTTTGCTGCAGAAATATTGTGTGAAATTATGGGGTATTGACCCAAGGCTCAATAAGGGTGTTAACTTAAACGATGGGCATATGTATTCTATTTTTTCCCTTTTTTTTTTTGTTTTGTTTTTTTGAGACCGAGTCTTGCTCTGTCACCCGGCTGGAGTG